CAAGCTTTTCCTAGGAGGGTCTGGTACTAGTAGAAGAACAGTTTCCTCACCCAGTTCTCTTATCTGCCTTCATTTTACCCCATCTTTATGTATGCAAGGACTTTGTGAGTTCCTGTTTTCTCTGTAGTGCAGACAGTCAGTAGGCTAACATTAACCAGTTCCTATCTGTACCCCTCTACGTTTTGCAGAGCCATTCCCTGTGTAACTGTTTTCATGTCCTCAACCCAATGCGCTACACCAAAACTATGTTTTCCTGATCTCAGGGGTTGCCCTGGATGAGTTTCTTTCCCCTTTTATTTTTAGAACCCTACCTCAAATTAAGACCTTTTAACATCAATTAGTTGTCCAACTATTTGATTAATGTGATGTCCATGCAGTCTTTATGTACCTATGGAACTTCTCATTCTGAATTACCAGGACTGAGATGTGTTTAGTTGGAATTTTGCTACTTTTTATTGTGTCAGCCTTTTTTTGTGAAATAAAGCACCAGCTTTTGTGGGTGAAAGTGGATAATTCTGTTTTGTTAAGGGGCAATAATACCTAACTTCTTCCAAAGGACATCCTTTAGAGATCTGGCATAAGAATAATTATACTACAGGACAAAGATACAGATACCTCCTCTACAGTCACTATATTTAATGTCACATATAGGATAAAATTGCTTATCTGAGCTTGCTGTACTTTCCATTTTTAGTCTTCCATAGCCTATACATATTTAATAATTGCAATGCCTGCTAGCTAAGGCTATTTGTCAAGGTCATTTTTTTCCTGACTTGAATTCTATTGAAGGGCTCCCTGGGCTGCAGGATCATTGTTTATGGAGCTCTTTTGCATCTTGTACTAGCACCCTCTTCAAAGTGTCATTCTGCTCAAGGACAAAGAAGAGGGATCTTACTACATAAATTAAGGTAGAAGTGTTTGTGAAAAGCTCAGAAAAGCATTTCATTACTTGAAGAGTGAGGAATAATATCCTTGTATGTGCATTACAAATTATGTGTACAGTGTATTGTTAAATCCTTGTTTAGACCAGGTTTGGTTACCTACTGGAGCATTCTGAGGCCAGATAGCTGCAGTTCATGTAACTGATAATTAGGAAATTCAGAACCCCATTAGTACATATTATATAATAGATGTATGGATATGTTGTTGTTTAATTTACAAATTGCCTTTTACATGCAACTCAAGGCAATGTCACTACATACAATTAAAAAAGCAATCTAAAATAGTTTTTTAAAAAACATTCAGCACAAAATTTAACTAAAGCTGGGTTTAAAACAATACAAAATGAACACATAAAGCAGAGATCTTTTCATTCAGGTGGAAAAGCTTGTTGAAACAAAATTGTCTTCGGCTGCAAAGCTTACTCAGAAGTCTTTCATACTTGTCAGACTCTGACAATTCATGTAAATACATTTTGTATCTTGTTAAATTTTGGATTTTCTCAGTAGGCTCTGAAGCAAAGTGTGAATTCTTTCCATTTTGTGTAGTGCCTCCTTGTGATAGCATGATTGGATCAAATCACTTGATCATCATTCTGGGGACCCTAAGGAAGGAGCTTACATGCCAAAAAAATTGCTTTCATCAACAATTATCATTAAATAGATAAAATCCAGAGTAATTTTTCCAAAACCCATGGGCAGAGTGTTTCAGTGAACTAGCTTGGGGAAACTGCATCTGAGAGCTATTTGTAGCCTGTGAAAAATCATATAACAAAAGATCCTCATAGAACATCTGTGCTGCAGCCTGACAACACCACAGGAGACCACAATTGATGGCAAAAAAAATTGCCTGAATAAACCTGGTACCATATTATTTCTTATATATGCAGATATTCTTTTTTCAAATATAGATGAATTGTACATTTTTTTAAAGTTGCCTTTTGAGACTATATAGTGGGATATTCTAAATACATGCATACATGCAAGTTTAGAGTGGAATTCAATATTGTGCCATGATGAACGCCCCATTAGAACAAGCATTGCAGCTTTCTGGATGGAGTAATACCCCTCTTCTCCCACTTTGTGCTGTTCTGGGGGTTATTTTGATCCTCCCCTAGCCAATTTTGGGGGCACTGGGGAGTGTGTGGGAGGAGAGGGAGGAAAGCCCTGGTTTTTAAAAAAAGTAGAAGCCCTTGCACAGGGCTTCTTCTGATAGGATTCATTCATTGTAAATCCCACCCTTAGTCTTTAACTAAACTTCTGCTACAGGATTCCTTTAAAAATGGCAATTCTTCCTTAATGTGTGTAATAAAATTTCTTAGATAGAATATTAAACATGTCTCCTACTCATGTTCCCACATTTTACGGTTGTACCAGAAAACAGAAAAGTTGGGAAAGGTTCAGAAAAGGACAACTAAAATGATCAAGGAGTTGGAGTGAAATGAGGCAAAGTTACATTTTTTTTAAGGGGGAGGGAGATGACAGAGGTCTAAATTTATGCATTGTCATATAGAGCTAGTCACCATCCAAGGAGGCTGAATGTTGGAAAGTGCAGGATGGACAAAATGAAGTACAGTCAAACCTTGGTTCCCGAACGCCTCTATTTTAGAATGTTTCGGCTCCTGAACGCCAAAAACCTGGAAGTAACTGCTCCAGTTTTTGAACAATTTTCGGAAGCCAAATGTGCTACGCAGCTTTTGTTTTGAGTTTCCCTATTGTATTGAGGCTTCCGCTTTCAGTTTTCGGTTGTCGAAGATTTCGGAAGTCGAACAGTCTTCCGGAACGGATTATGTTCGACAACCGAGATTTGTACAGTGGTACCTCGGTTTAAGAACAGTCCTATTTGCGAACGATTCGGTTTACGAACTCCTCAAAACCGGAAGTAGTGTCCCGGTTTGAGAACTTTACCTCCGTCTAAGAACAGAATCCGAATGGTGGAAGGGCACCGGCGACGGGAGGCCTCATTAGGGAAAGCGTGCCTCAGTTTAAGAAAGGTTTTGGTTTAAGAACAGACTTCCGGAATGGATTAAGCTCGTAAATCAAGGTACCACTGTACCTCTTTAAACAATGCATAGTTAAACTACAGAACTCTCTCCCACAAGATGTAGAGATAGCCACCAACTTGGATAGTTTTAAAAATGCTCCCTGAGGGGAGTTGAAAAAGAAGAAGCTTTGAGAGTTGCCACCATCCAGCTCCCAGAGTGACCCTCCTTCCCGCAACTGCCACCATAGTGGCATCTGAAGGATCATCTTGCCCTGAGGGGAATGAGAAGAAGCAGCAACAGCTTCTTCTAAAACATACATCCCTAGCATTTGGCCATTCTTTAGCCCTGCCAATAACAGCATTGCCTCCACCAGTAAACTAGTCAGGAATTAGTTGCATCTATTAATGATAGCATCTACCACCTCTGTTTCTCTCACAGAACTCCCAATATCTTCCTGCCTCAGTTTGTGGGATGTCCACAAAAACAGATTCCTTCAACTGTAGCTGATTCCCTTTCTCCTCTGTTCCTTTGCCTCTTTTCCACATTTGTTGCTTTCTTTGGCTTAGTCAGAAACTACAATTACAGTGGTACCTCGGGTTAAGTACTTAATTCGTTCTGGAGGTCCGTTCTTAACCAGAAACTGTTCTTAACCTGAAGCACCACTTTAGCTAATGGGGCCTCCTGCTGCTGCCGCGCCGCTGGAGCACGATTTCTGTTCTCATCCTGAAGCAAAGTTCTTAACCCGAGGTACTATTTCTGGGTTAGCGGAGTCTGTAACCTGAAGCGTATGTAACCTGAAGCGTGTGTAACCCGAGGTACCACTGTAGTGTGTAATTTTTGAAGAAATCCTTTATTTCAGAATCATCATAGGAGGTTGCCCCCTGCCACCACCGTTGAGTTTTACATCAAGATATTAAGGGGAAAGCACCATCTGCAAAACAAATGGTAGATTATGGCTTAGATCCAGAGTCTCCTTCTTATCTGTGAAACTTACACTACTTGGAACCATAACATTTTTCTCTGTATTCTTCACTTTCCAAATCCTGCTGTCTTTTCTGTCCTTGGATTGCTCAAACCTGTCTCATGTGCATTCAAACTTTTCTTATTGCATCTAGCTTTTCATTTCAGCCTGCTAGATCATTCCACTCAGTGTTTTCCGCAAACTGCCAAGGATAGCTCAGTTCATAGAGCACGAGTCTTAATCTCAGGGTTATGGGTTCAAGCCATTGGGCAAAAGATTCCTGCATTGCTGCATTGACTAGATGACCCTTGTGGTCTCTTCCAACTCTATAATTTTATAATTCTCTGTAGATAATTGCATTTTGATGATTCAAATTATGCAATTTACTCCTTGATGTCATTTTCATACTTGTAATAATAAACAAAATCATTTTGAATTGAAATTGGGCCCTTGTGGTTCACGTTAACCGCCCCTGGTAATACAGGGGCCCCTTCTTTTCATAGTATGCCACAGGTCTTAATCCAAGATCACAAAATACCATAAATTCATGGTAATACACATACAGTGGTACCCCCGGTTACAAACAGGATCTGTTCCGGAGGCCTGGCCGTATCCTGAAGATTTTGTAACTGGAGGACCACTTCTGCACACGCGTTTGCCGCATTCGCAACCCGAAAGTTACGTTACCCGAAGCAGGTCCTACTTTATGAAAGTTGGCTATGGGAAAATTCACTTATCTGAACACTAGGAATTAGTACCCAAACCTCACTATACAAAGCACAGATTCAGATTTTTTTACTTCCATAGTTAGCTGCGGGAAGGGGAGCACTAGACAAATCAGAGAGCTTTTTTCTGAGGTTTCTTGGGGAGGGTTTTTTTGGGGGGGGTCACAATTCTGTGGTCAGGAGCACATTAGATTTCCCCCCCATAGGAATCAGTAGAAATTGTCAACTCATTAGGCAAACGCTCGCCTAATGATTGATGTCATTGGCATGTCATTGCCAGTGGTATTAGGAAGTCAGAAAGCCAAGTCAGGCCATTGGTCTGTCTAACTCAGTATTGCTGACTAGCATTGTCTATCCATGGCTTCAGGCTAGGAAAATTCCAAGCCCTATCTGAAGATGTCATAATTTGAGCCTGGAACCTTCTGCATGTAAAGCAAATGCTCTCCCACTGAGCCACAGCCCAAATATAGCATATTATATGGTCTATAAAGTTCTAATTTCCACAGGGTAGGCCTACCTTTGAGAGCATTACATGTGAACTGGGTCTTAGGATCTCGTTAGAATTTCCCCCCTAAAAATGTTAAGTAATTCAACAACTTGCAATTTCTCTACCTCCCAAACAAGTGAAACAGCTTAAGTTTATGATCTTAGGGGAAAGACACCATTTTCAATATCAAAGAGTAATGAACTGAAACATAGGAACACTCACAGTTTGGAAATGACCTCATATATTTCATGCAGGAAAGAGCTAGGATCTGGCTGCTTAAGTATGCAACATAGGGCAGAGGTAATACAGTCCAGAAACCTGGAGCAAGGGGAGAGGTGTCAGAGTGAACCTCAGGATGACTCATGCTGCCTACTTTCTGTTTGGGCTGCAGCCAAAAAATGTCCCTCCCACACAGATGACTCCAGCACATAAGTAGTGGACTTCCCCCTTAGTCCAAGAGATAGCTAATTATATTTGCCTTTACCGGGGAGAGGAGAAGCTAACAGGCCACCAGAAGTTTAGCTTTAAAGCTTAGGCTTGAAGAAAACAGACTCACCACAAGGGATGGAGTTAGACGTCTTCACTCCTGAAACCAAGTACAGTGGTGCCCCGCAAGATGAATGCCTCACAAGACGAAAAACTCGCTAGACGAAAGGGTTTTGCGTTTTTTGAGTCGTTCCGCAAGACGAATTTCCCTATGGGCTTGCTTCGCAAGACGTTTGCTTGCGAAGTTTGTTTCCTTTTTCTTAAAGCCGCTAAGCCATTAATAGCCGCTAAGCCGCTAATAGCCACTAATAGCTGTGCTTTGCAAGACGAAAAAACCGCAAGACGAAGAGACTCGCAGAACGGATTAATTTCGTCTTGCGAGGCACCACTGTAGCTTTATCCACTTTGCTCCCTCCTGCCCAATTGCTGGTTTGAGCTGAAGATTTGTTTAGAAAACCAGTACACATAAGCATCTGATAGTTGTATTTAAGTGTTTTTCTCCTTTTCTTCCTTTGTCCCTTCAGTCCATAATTTTCTATCTACCATATTCCTGTATTTGATAAGAGTTTGGGGTTTGACTGGTCAAGGATAATTTTAACCTTCTTTGAATACATTTTATTAAGTTTAGGTTTCATTTTAAACCTAGCTTTTCTTTTCTTTTAGAAGTTTACTGCAATTGAAAATATACTATTATTTCAATTCTAAAAACTACCCCATATATTTTCTTACTGTTTCTGACATCTCTGTTGGAAGTTGTAGTTCCTTAATTGAGGAATTTCTTATGCAAAGTAGGTGGCAAATGTTACTGTAGCATGCTGATGATATCTTAGCTTCTAAAGTGGAAATATAGCAGGTTTGAAAACCATTGATTGCAAGTCATGGATGGAAGACATGCATTCTTGGCAAAAGATAGTAACCATTTTGAAAGGTTATATAAGTCATTACCTTTCATTAACCATATGCACTGTTAAGGTTACTTAGATTTCTGTGAGAAATCTACTGGGCCAGGTAAGGCTATAAGCAAATCAAATCTATTATTTGCATGGCTTAAGTATTTTGTGGCCAATGGTTGTTAACCATTCGCAAACTAAATGTCATGTTAATTGAGCATCCTTATAGTTACATAGACTTACTTTTGCATAAACAGATACGTTGGCCTCATTCATATGTCACATTAGTTTAAAACAAGCTATGGTTTCATGTAAGCATACTGGTGCATACTGCTGAGAAGTTATTGTGCCTCTCCTCCCCCACGTCCTGCTGCTGCTGCCACTCATGCAGTGCTATTTTTCTAGAAAAAGAGGTGCCGGAACTCGCCATTAACACCTCCCTTGTTCTCTTATTATGGCTATGGCACTGACTTGAGAAACTTGAGTCAAGGTTTGGAGTTTGGCTTGTTTCCTGGTGACAGAACAGCAGGAGAGGAACAGAGTGAGAACTTTTCAACAGCATGCATTAGTTCACTGCATTAAACAATAGCTTGTTTTTAAACTATGGTTTAATTTGATGTGCAAACCTGACTAGTGTATGATCAGCAGAAAGTCCTAGAAATTGTAGTGGAATGTAATGCAAGCTTCCACAGAAGCTAATCTTAGTGGATGAGTGTTTACTGGTTATATGCCCTGAGTCTGTAACATTCACTACTGAAATTCATGCTACATAGTCTTCAGTAAAAGGACGGAGATTTCAGTTTTTATTTAGTTTTATATTAATTTTACTTTCTTTTTGTTGTTTTCACTCAGTCTGCTGTTTAATCTTTGATTACAGGCTACTAAAGAAGTAATAGAACGAGAGGCCCCAGGGATGGCCTTGGCAATGCTGATGGGATCACTTAATGTTACACCTCTGGGCATGCTCTCTAGGTAAGAATATTAACAAAAATACCATGAATTATTTCTCTAGAAATATTTAAGGTGGTGTAATGGTTGCATTGAGCAATACATTAATACTTGGCCCCTTCATCATTTTCAGATTCAGGTAGATACACTTTTTTGAGGCTCCTGATTTATCCTTTTGGGACCTCTGGCATGTGAATAGGCCAGCCAATATTTGAAAGTACTTTAGAAAATGAGTTAATGGTTTCAGTGTGTTAAAAAGCAGGTATCCACGCCAGATCAATTTTACGTAGGGGGACAAAGAGGATGTGGGTGGATGCCACCTACAAAGAAAAGTTCATTTTCAAAGTCACATATCAGTGAATGGCATGGGATAGGCTATTTTTAGGCTAACTGTCGCATTTCTGAAAGTGATGAACTGATTTAGACATACTGTACACCAAGATGAAGGTAGGCAGCTGTGCTACCAAATATATAATAGCTGTAGTAGTCTTACATTTTAAGGGTGAAGTGCCATAAGGGCAAGAGCAGTAAGCACACTGGAAATTGGCCAAAACATGGCTTTGGAAAACAGAACTGTTTTAACCATCCCACACAGCTATTTCAAGTCTACTATATATTTAGCAGCCAACATTTTTCCTACAATTGCACTGAATGTCTAAGTCAGATTACAAAATTACAGTGAATAGAAGACACAGCCATACCTCTTAAAACAGTTACAAGACAAAAAAAACCACATGAAATAAAATAAACAGCATATAGATACTAACTTCAGTGTTCCTGACCCATGTCATCAAAGCTGCTTCTTCCTAATAAAGGTAACAATAATGTACAATACTGACTTAGCCTATGGAACATGAACAAACCATTACATTTTATTTAAAAGTGATTTCCTGGTTATTGTGGGAGGTGATGTAAGCTGGGTAATTTAGAAGAGGGTTTATTCTAGCTAGGAGCTGCAGGCCTACCTTACTGTGAGTTCTCCTTTTCATATTTTTACCTGCTTTCTCCTAAAATAAAACTTTGATGGAGTTTTGATGCCTCTTGTTTGAAGCTTAAAGGAGTCAGTGTGAACTTTGTATGTTTTGCAAATGGCAACAACAAAGGTGCACTATGTCATTCACAACATCTAACAAGTCAGAGAAGCTGCTAAATTTTGCTAAAAATGATAATACCAATAATGTGTAATAGATTGGCCAGGTTTTCTGACCACATAGCAGCTTGAACTGCTGGACAGCATTTTATTATTTATACCTCACCCATCTGACTGGGTCTTCTAAAAGTTGTATAGTTATTTATCTCCTTGATATCTGATGGGAGGGTGTTCCACAGGAAGGGCCCTATTGCTGAGAAGGTCCTCTACCTGGTTCCCTGTAGCTTCACTTCTCACAGTGAGGGACCTGCAAGAAGTTCCTTGAAGTTGGACCTCCGTGTCTGGGCTGAATGATGGGGCTAGAGACGCTCCTTCAGGTATACAGGGCCGAGGGAGTTTAGGGCTCTAAAGGTTAGCATCAACACTTTGAATTGTTCTCAGAAACGTACTGGGAGCCAGTGTAGATCCTTTAGGACCAGTGTTATATGGTCCCAGTGGCCATTCCCAGTCACCAGTCTAGCTGCCACATTCTGGAATAGTTTTAGAGAACTTAAATGCTCAGTTGTGACAATTCGAACTTTGTAATCTGAACAATTTATATGAGAATTATGGAAATCTTGAAAGGGATCACAACAGGACATTGCACCTGGAATTATTCACCACCTTGTTACTATAACTCACAAATTTATGTTCACACAAGTTGGTGTCATTTCTGATTATTACATTGAAGTGTATTCTACAAAGGTTGCCACACAATCCCCTCAAATGTATTTGAAGGGGCCAATACAACTTGGTGGGGTGCTTGATGTGCAGCTACTGCAGATATGGAGATAATGTATTACCATGGATGAAAATTTTACTAATCTAGCCCACTTTCTGTCTGATGTTCTCATAAGAAGAGGTGTAGACAGCTGGTGACATCACCAAACCCGATGAGGATTGATCAGCCAAGAGAGACTGTTCCAATCTTTCAGTATGTTGTGGAGGATTCTACTGTTGCACTTCCTGACCACAAGAGCAACTGAAATCTAACAACTTGAAAATGAAGGTGCTTTCAAATACAATTGCACGTCACTGCCAAAACTCTTTTGAAACATATAAAGAACTTGCTAAGCTTCCATGGTCTAACAGGCTGTGGCATAGTATCATCTTGCAATAGCCATGGAAAGATGCCCTGCTGGAAGATATTGTTTTAAAGCAACCTCATCACTTATATTGGATGGGATCAGTGTTACTTAGATACCAATAGACTTCTGTCATGGAATCCTAGAATTGTAAGAGTTGGAAGGGACCATGATGGTAATGTAGTCCAGCCCCCTGCAATGCAAGAACCTCAACTGAAGCATGCATGACAGATTGCCATCCAACTGCTGCTTCAAAACCAAGTCCACCATCTTCGGAGGGAGTCTGTCCTGCAGCTCTTACCATCTAAAAGTTCTTCCTAATGTTTAGCTGATAGCAAAAGCAGGCCCATCTATATATGACTTGGCCAAAAGGGGTTTGGTAGACACTGTAAATTGGGAGTGCTTGCAAAGGCCCTTGCACAGCACTTCCCAAGTTCCCAACAACCGTTTGTTGGTCACTTGGGAAGTGCTGCTCAATGAGCTTTGCAAAGCCCTGTACTTGGCAAGTGATGAACTCAGGGCTTGCAAAATGCTTTGCTCAGAGCTTCTGAAGCACCTGGCAACCAGCTGGCCAAGCCTTGACATTTATGATGTCAGGTGCAAGGCAGGTGGATGTGGCTTGGCCAAAACAGCCTTGCGGCCAAATGGGGAGGCCTCATTGTCCAGATTTGACCCATGGACTGGAAGTTCTCTCCCCACATCAGATTATAAGAACTAACGTTTAAAATGCTTGAAATAGCTATGTAGAATGGTTAAACAGTACTGCATTTTGAAAACATGTTTTGGCTACAGATTTCCAGTGCTTTTGTTGCTTGAGACCTTATAGCACTTCACCCTTCAAAGATAGACCTTTGCTGTCAGCATATGTTTATTAGCACTGCTCCTTACCTTTTTTGTGTATAGTGTCTTTTAGATCTACAACAGTTTTTTCCAAAAATAGTGTAACTTGTCACTCTATGTACAGTTGAACTGGCATAGGTGTCTAATTCTTAAAATGCTAATATTGATTTAAGTTTTTAAAAATGACATTTTGATTGGTTAGTATTGGTAAAAATTAAAAATGACATCAAGGTGTTTGGTAGGGGAAAATCTGGTTAAGGATCTTATTCTGAAACTTTCTTGTGAATCTGCATGTATAAAAACATTGCACTTTTATACACTACTTCAGCTGATGCAGAGAAATGCTGACTTGCCTAAGGCTGTCTAGTGAATTAATGGCTGCTAGCAACTTCTTGGCTTGTTCTTTCATTCAGTAGCCCTGCTCACCTAGCAGTGATTTTCTTATCATGGACACAATCCAGAAAAGGACTGTATTGTAAGTTTCCCCTGAAATAAATTAACTTCTAATGTAGTCATACTTTAAGATGGCATGAAACTTGCTCATTAATTAGCTTGTAAGCACTATTCAACAGAGAACATACTTTAAAACGGTTCCTATAAATATAGAAAATAAATAAAAATGAATAATTTAGTCATAATAAAATAAATTATTTATAGTCATATTGCTAGTCCCAAAACTAGCAAAGAACAAAGCTTGGTACATATCCCTGCATTTTTATGAGAATTTTCCTCTCACTTTGCCTCCACTAAACTCCCAGCTTTCTTTATAACAACTGCTTTATAACAACAATAAGAGCAGTTGCTAAGAAGGGATTATTTTTTTAATGCCAGAGGCTGCATAAGTGGTATGCACATGTGTTGTCGTCGTCATGGGATTGTGGCCTGTCTGTACATGACACAGGTATAACTGACTTGGTTCATGTTTGTGAGATCTCAAGGAAATTCACTTTACTAAGTATTTGTTAGAACAGTCTTCCCCAGCCTAGTGTCCCCCAGGCCCAGATGTTTTTGGCTACAAATTCCATCAGCTCCAGCCAGCCTAGCCAGTCATCAGGAATGATGGGAGTTCATCATTCAAACCATCTAGCACCAGATTGAGGAAGTCTGTATTAGAGAAAATTAATACTGTGCCTCTCTTGAGTTGAACATAATTATGATGGGGTGGGGGAACAGAGATTAGGTGGTCACATTTAGCTTTCAAGATGAATTGTAAAATGAAATACTTAAGTATAAATAATTCAACAAGAACACATTATGAGTGTTCTATAAAAGTTAGTGTTTCTGCTCTTTCCATGGCCAAGAAGACTGGCAAATAATGTTGTTCATTGGGTTTCTTTCCTATCATTATTTTATTGTATTTCTAATTTTTGCAGTTAAAAGGGGGAAATGTTAAATGAATTAAAAGTAGACTCATTACCAAAACTAGACAGTTCATTGTACCATTCAGGCATTGGATTTTCTTTATTCTCCTCCTTGCCGCCCAAGTGGCAGTGACATTGTCATTGTGTATGAATGTGATTGGGATTGTGCGTAATGTGTCCGTTAAGCAGCTTAATTAACTGTAAATCTCATAAGACTTTGAAATATCACTGAGGAACAAAGACTATTCTGGAAGTACTCTAAAACGGGGGTGGGCTTTAAACACAGATCTGCCCATATCACATAGAGGAGCCAATCTGTGGAGCCTTTGGAGTTGCCTTGCATATTCTGCCCGTTGGCCTTGTTCACTCTCATGTGATCTTAGAAGGCAGAGAGTTCCCATTGTCACATGGACGGGCAATTTTCATGGGAATAGCAACTAGAAAGAAGCTAACCCTCACCTGTGCATTGCCACCCCCACCAACAATTATATTTGCACAGCAGTTAAACAGAAAAAGCTCCTATTGATGCCCACGGGAGTTTTCTCCCTCTAAGCTTAATTGCCACAGGCAGGGGGGATAGAAGGGGGAGGAGAGCAGAAAAATGGGATGATGGGGAGAATGAAATGGTTGTAGGGAATGTGGATGGATTTGCGTGTGTATGAATACAGAGATGGGAGTGAAGGGTGTACTTGTGTAAATAAGAGTAGCTGTGTGAGAGGGAGACGAAAACAGTATGCAAGGTGGTGATGACCTTAAATTTAAATAAGTTCCCCCCATATAGAAAGAGAAGGGGTATCTCTTTTTTAAAAAGCTAAGGGGTGCATGGGTGAGGAGTACAAAGCCTCGCCTTGTTGCTTACCTCTCCACACTCCCTTTCTCCAAGTCCTTTTCTCCCGACCAATAATACTTCTGAAAGCGGAACCCTGCTAAGGAGGAAAATGGGGTTGGGGGAAGAGATTGCAGGAAGGTGATTATGTGAAGGGAATACACTGATATATTACTATCATGTCTAGTTCAGGCTTGAGACTTTGCTACTGAATGGTTACCAAAGCAGTTACTGTATTTCTGATAGTTATTTTAACTTTGCTTGCTTTGTTGCTAATGTGTTTGATACACTTACTAGGATGAGGAAAATGACACAAATCTGCTTCACAGATGTCAAATGGCATTTCCTTCTTGAATCCCTAACTATAAGAAAGTATTGCACAAGCCTGTTTGGAATCCATCTTCAAGGTCTATGCAGTTTCTGTTTGTAACTTGAGGCTGTATTTACTCAGCTACTTTCCTTCATGTGATTTCAGCTTAACATGCTTGTTCAGTAAGACTGTTCAATTACTGTGTTGAGGCAGCTCCAATTGCAAAAATTGCTTCTGAATGTATTCGCTTCAAACGAAGCAGTAGTGAAATGGTGTTCTAAAATACACTTGGTGATCATGTAGCAATACATGGTAGAAAATATCTATTCTATATGAATCAGTACTTCACCTGCCAGTGTTTCCCTTACTCTGTTCTTATGAGGTGTTGTTTCTAGACCATTATTACTATTCTGGCCTAGCCACTTTTGTTAAATTATCACATGGTGCTTTTTGTATACAAATAGTGATTAGATTCTATATCTAAGTCTATATTAGACCTAGATTCTTCTGAATCTGAAACTTTTTAAACATTTTGAGTTATGATGGTGGTTATCCACCAAATCTACATTGTTATAAATTAGGGGTGTTTCAGTGGTTGTCCTGAGTGGCACTAATTATGATGGAACTAATCTACACTCATTGAATTTTCACAAATAGCCCATCTACTAAAGGAAGTTATCAGCCTTAGAACATGATGCTCCAGCTTTGTGAGTTGAAATAAGGAACATAAGGTTCCTCACATATGTGTACAGGAGATGTCAATGCAAAGTGGAGGGGGGCTAAGAGATAAGTGTAGCTTCTTATGGAATGGCGTTTTGCAAAGAACACAAGGGTGCTGCTGAAAATAGCAACCACACATAGAGTCTTCCCCCTTCCCCTGTACCTTCTAATTCAACTTCCTATGTGATCTGTCATAATTACAGCGGCCTGGTTCATAACACGTAATGGTGAGCTAGAGACTCAGCTAAGTTTTAGGTACTGAGTTTTTTAACTTATCTGCATCTGGTTATTATTATCTTTCTCCCTGTCCTGACCATCCCTCCGAGGTTATATTTATATTTATAATCTTTCAATTTGGCTGGTCTATTTACTTAACCGACCTGGAACAATCTACCAGAGAAAAGGCCGCTGCCCATGGGACAGAGGGTCATTGATGAATGATAATCCAGCTTCTACCTAGGGTTTTAATAGGTCATAAGATTATACGGTAACAATATTTGTAATGTATTTTTGTCGGTGTTTGTCCTTTGATGCTATGGCCTGTTGGCTATGCAAATAAAGTCCTTGTTGTTGTTGAGCTAGAGACTCTATGTACTGCTGTTAGTTATTGCCATGGTACTCACCACATATGTTCTTTTAACTGAACTAGAACCCTGTTCTTTGACTCAGTGTATGTCTTTGGAATGGTACAAGCTTTCTTCGACCCAAATAACTCTACCCCTTTCCCACTGTGATTGGGCTTTATTTTTTCCTTGCTGGCATCGGACAACAAACGTTTCCACGTGCACAAATGCTGTTCCTGATTGCGCCCCACCCTGCTGTTCTTCCTTCACTTTGCCAGCCTTCTCCTGGTTGCTCATTCCTGTCTCGCTTCCTTCTTGTCAACTCCTCATATCTGCCTTGCCTGTACAGGCTCTTTTCCAGGATCTAGACAAGCATTTGTCTCTGTTGTTTAGAAAATGATTGTGTAGTCAATCTCCCTCACCCCCTCTTTTTAAAAAATTAATAATTTCCAACCTAGAAGTCACTCCATTTTAGGTATAAACCTGCGGTTCAGATTTCTGATACTTTGTTATTAGTGTTTCTCCAGCTTGGAATGCAACAGATTTCAGATCAGGAATGTCACTATATTCCCTCTTTATGTGACTATGCAGGGAGGGAGGAATCTTCTGGGGCACTGGGCAGAGTGTGGTTCCAGATATGTTAGTGCATGAGAGAATAGTGGCAGCCCAAAACATCTATATGTTATCCGTTTGTGCTATAGTAATGAGTATCATATTTCTGGAACACAAATGACTTCCCAGTCTCTCCCCACTAGCGTTCTCCTTATAGTTCTCCTTGGCCTTAGATGAACTATTCTTTAGTTCCAGATTGGCACAAATCACTACAGATCAATTTGAGTCCACCTGGATTGCTCTGGAATGATT